TTTTACAAATTCGAGGGAGAAACCAATTGTACCATTACGAAAATATAGTAACAAAAATTTCGAACTGAAAAAACCAAACAGATAAATATATTTATTTACAAAATTAGCGCTTAACTTACTTGAGAAATACAAGGAAAACAGTAACTATACTCAAAAATATTCTTAAGCAAGAGGGCATTAATGTTAGTCTCAAAGGAAATACATTATTCTTGAACATAAACGAAAAAACTTAAATAGGTGTCATTACCAAGGTTTGATTTGATAATTTCGAATAAATTGAGCATTGGGTTGATTGTTATAAATAAAAATAAAATATTTGTAATATCCCAATGAGTAGAAAATTGGATTTTCTGACGTTTCGTGACTTAGTGTAAGTCACTTCTTCAGAGAATAAATAACCAAATTAAAGATATGCGCAAAAATCATATGCCCAAGTATGTTAAGGTGGAATTTTTGTAACAATAGTACTAGGAAACCTGATGGGATAATCTTATATCAATTTCTAAATAATTCCTTTCTTCTTAAAAACTGTAACAAACAAGTAGACTGTAAAGACGAACCTTTTGTTCAATAATATATGTTTAGATACATTCAGAAAGTATTTCAACAAACGTTAATCCTTTAAGTTTTAAAAAAGCATACAAAACATGCAAAACACGTATACGGCTGGACTAATATCATTACCTGTAAGAGCCATCTACGTGTGGTACACGCTGTTTTAAATCGACCACTGGGGCTAGTGTTGTGCGAGTACTCCACTGAGAATTGGAAGAATCTGTGGCGGGGCGTCGACCCTGAGCACGTTTCACAGCCATGTGGGATTGCATTAATTTTAAACTAGAAGAGAAATTAAATAAAGCTGATTGCATACAAACGAAATAAACTCATGAATATGTATTTCAGTGAAAGCTCGGTTAAACTGAAGAACTGTACCAAAACGTATGGATTAAGGTTACTAGCTCTGATTTAATATGCTTAAGAAAAACGATTAAAATTAAGAAAATCCAAGATTACAACACGATCTAAAGAAAAAGGGAATAGGCAGCTTGTTTGATACCTGAATAACTCGACGGTTTCATAACTTTCAAACTACATCAAAGAGGCAGGGAAGTGAAAACAGGTTTGCAAGAAGATAATTAGAGAAGTCAATATACGTAGATCAGTTCAAGTTTTAGCCCATAACAAAACCACACGGATAAGAATTATTGGAAAGTTCCGGAGAGAAAAGCAAACAAGCATAGATTATATCCAAGATTTGGCATCTTCCTAACTATGGACTTCAACTAGTGATTTCTTACATTACGAGGACAGTTCACAGTTCGCAGCACAATTTCAACAGTACACAAAGACACTATACACTGACGCCAACATTTGACTATCCTTTACTTCATTTTAAACTGAACGTGAATGTATAAACTATATATTCACCCTTCGTCAGGTTCTGGAAAATCGATACAGTTTTAGACATCCGACTATGGTCGTATTTCTTGACCTTAGGGCAGCGTTCGACTCCTTTGATCTCGAGAGTCTATGGAAGTGTCTGTCTGGTTACGCGGATGATATGGTTCTGTTTGAGGAAGGCGCTGACGAAATACGGTCTTTTGACTGCCTTAAACAACAATGAAAGCACATTTGGGTTGAGGTTCTCGCCCCCCAAATGTGATATACTACTTCAGGATTGGCTTGCATCAACGTTTGAATTAATGATAGTGAGTGAAGTGCTTGAACGCATCGACCGCTTTACTTATCTTGGAAGTCTCATCACTACTATTCTGGGATTTGGCCAAACAATTTTATCTATCTCTGCTAAGGGGGTATAGCAAATCGAACTGTTGTGTATACTTACTAGGTTCTACCCTGTGACCGAATGTTATTAACAATATGTTATATCGATGGGATATTTTCTCAACATCCGACTGAAGCATTATGGAAGAATTCCTCTAAGACAAAGAAAATGGGGAATTACGATGAAAAAAGTAATAACTAAAATAAGATTTATTTACACTTATTTGACACACTTCAACTTTACGCGTACCCACTTAACTACGCGTACATACACATAAAATGGGAACGAAAAACAGAAAGCGAAAACCATTCACTGTTTACACTAGCCACGATAATCAGATTTTAAAATCTTTTACGGTAAACATTTATATGTAAAATTATGATGTAAATGAGTAAAAATGTTTGACAACTATGAATGTACTACTGAAAAAGTAAATCATGTTACCTACCGCTATATTCTGGTGATTATTGACTATATTATGCATTTCAATATACCGATACATTAATTAATAGTTTTAGGATGAATATATTTGTATAAGGGTACTTACTTGCTTGCTTACGCCTGTTACTTACTCCTTGTGAAGGAGCATAGGTCGCTCACCAGCATTCTCCATCCAACCCTGTCCTGGGCAATCCTTTCCAGTTGTTATTCATCCTTTCCATATCTGGTTCTATTTCCCGACGTAATGTGCTCTTCGGTCTTCTTCTTTTCCGTTTCCCTTCAGGATTCCAAGTTAGGGCTTGCCTCGTGGTGTAGTTTGATGATTTGCGTAATGTACGTCCTATCCATTTCCGTCGTCTTTTCCTAATTTCCTCTTCATCTGTAAGCTGGTGTGTCCTCTCCCACAGAAGGCTGCTTCTGACGATATCCGGCCAATGGATGTTGAGTATCTTGTGAAGACAGCTATTTATAAATACTTGTACCTTCTTGATGATGGTTGTTGTAGTTCTCCAAGTTTCAGCTCCGTACAGTAGAACTGCCTTGACGTTCGTATAAAAGATTCTGACTTTGATATTGATTGAAAGTTGTTTTGAGTTCCATATGTTCTTCAATTGTAGGAATGCTATCCTTGCTTTGCTAATCCTCGCCTTTACGTCTGCACCTGAACCTCCTAGTTAATCGATGATGCTTCCCAGGTATGTGAATGATCTTACATCGTCCATCAAGTGTGATTGGATTGCTGTTATCCGTGTTGTATTTGAGGATCTTGGTTTTCCCCTTGTGCATGTTGAGGCCTAGTGATGCAGAGACTGCTGCTACACTGGCTGTCTTTATCTGCATTTGTTCGTGTGTATGGGATAGGAGGGCTAGGTCATGCGCGAAGTCCAAATCGTTTAATTAGTTCTGAGTTGTTCATTGTATTCCGTGTTGTCCCTTAGATGTCGAGGTCTTCATAATTCAGTCGACCACCAGAACAAAGAGGAAGGAAGAGAGTAGACAGCCTTGTCTGACTCCGGTCCTTACTTGGAATGCATCTGTCATCTATCCTCCATGCACGACCTTGCACTTTAGTCCGTCGTACGAGTTCCGGATAATGTTGACAATCTTCTCAGAAACTCCGTAGTGTTGAAGAAGTTTCTATAACGTTCTCCTATCTACACTGTCAAACGCCTTTTCATAATCAATGTATACATTTTCCCATTAGTATTGTTTAATATGAAGTTAAATAGTAAGTAGGTGTAAATACAGGCAAAGGGATGAAAAAAAATAGTAAACCAATACTACTCTTAGTCAATCATTTCACCAGCTGAAGAAGCGAACTAATTTAAAGCCATTGAATAAATGATAACTTACCTGGAATTTGAATTGACTGAAGAAGCATTCACATTGAATTGATTAGATGATGTTACATCAGATTCCGACCAGTTAGCAGTGACACGCAAACCAACTAATGGAGCATTTCCTGACTTGTTAGACGACTCGCTTGATGTTAAATTATCGAGAGGTGTTCCATCTAAAATATCCAAGTCATCATATAAACTTGACGTCATTGTTTTAAACTGAAGCTTCGATCCTATGCATTCAGCAAAACAACTGAAAAAGAACAATAATTCATTAAGTAACAAAGTTCGACGAATCAAAGCGTAATAATGTACAAGCATTCACTTATACAGAAAAAAGAACATATTGGTAATATATATGGACAAATACAACTATGTTTGAGTCAATTTAAAGCCCTTTAAGGTGAAAACTGAAGATAATTTTAAGAAACTTGATAATTAAATGTAATGAACACTAAAAAGTGGAGTATAGATACGAAGTCTGAATTATTTAGAAATACACGCATGACATTAAACGGTACTTCTTTCTAGAGTGAAGCAACAAAAATTCAGCCTGTTTTTGGCACAGCTATTGCAACAAATCAGAAAATGAAATTTGAATTCGAATTAAATTTTAAAAAGATAAAAGAACGGGAATAGTAATAATCTCGAATAGAATTCATAGTTAGGAAATATAGGGATTATATAGTTATCTAGTTATATACGTGAAAACGACAAATTATTCCCAACTTCAACTTTAGAACGAAGCTGACTTTTAAGACAAAAAAGATATGTATGCAGAAATGTCAACTCGCGCAAATGATAACCGATTAAGAACTCTTAAATCAGTGCTATAACTGTAACCAAATTCAAGTTTGCTCTCCAGGGAGCCATTGCTATAAAATGAGTGATTACATGCAGAATATATTTTTTTGCAAATACGAAGATATACAAAAAGCATACTAATAAACATCTGTACACTATTGTATTAGACTGATATTATCATTAACTATTAAGCAGGTGTTACAGATTTGAACATCATCTCACTGCACGGGAGATTAGAGTATTTTCAAAGTTTGCTGAGATCCCTTTTAATATAGTTTTACTGTTAGGGGTAAATTAGGGAGAACTGAACAGTACTCAATAGTTTTGTCCAACTGAAGTCAGTAAATCTGAATCTTTTAACTCTGAATTAATGTCTAAATGATATGCTTTTTCTGTAAACCTCAATTACCAATTTAATCACACGTTTATATTCCAATTTTCTGTAAAATGGATAAACATGATTAATGAGGTTAAAAAGAACAGAAAACTCGACTCTCAATGTATAAAAGCCTTAACACTATAACGGACAAGTCGATGGCAGAAAGCACAATCGATATATCATTAAAGTAATATTTTAGAGCAACCGAAATTCAGAGCCAAACAGACGTATCAAAAAGGAGTACACACTGCATTAATTCACTTTTATTTTCTGTACAGAGCAGAAAATTGTACATAAAATTGACGTAACAACGTACTACATGAAGGTGTACACAGCACTTGTTCAATAATTAGGCATAATCATTCCAACATAGTATAAACGTATATTTTTATTGTATGATTAAGAACAAAAAGGCCACAAGATATACAAACACAACACAGTTGATAATATTTAATTTAGAAGGAATTTTCTTTCAAACAAATGTAGAAATTAAAGGCAGTTGTAGGTCACCCATCAACATTAGCAGCAACAATTTTATGTACCGTTATTATTCAGTGAAATTGGATTCACATATTTATGAACAAATAGATGCATATATAATTGCAATTTTTAAAAAAAACGGTAAAAATTATGTAATATACAAGCATGAGTTTTTTTAATTATTTTGTTTACATTGTCGAATACTGAACAAATTTATAAAACGGTATGAAATTTGTATATTTTTTTCTTTGATTTGATTGAGAGCCTAGATAATAATGAGAATTCGTTGTATAGTTTATAATAATGCATTTTCTAAAAGAAAGAATCCAATGAATAAAACGTAAACTATGCGTAAAATCCTGAAGAAGAAATAGATAACAATTAAGAGTAGTTGTTTTTTATTGCACATAGGTATATGTATAGTTGTTCATTTCATAATAACGTTTAGAATATTCCATTATTTGCCTACGAATCTTTTTCAAATTCATGAATATTAAACTTTATGAACATATCGTTACAAGTAGAGTACATATTAGTCACAGAATATAGCTTAGAAACGTTATTTATACAACAAGTTGTAGAGATTTATAAAAGCAACAAGATAAATTCTTTCGTTGAGTGACAAGGAATTTTACAGTGGTCAAAGATATTTTGAAAGACTAATGAAAAACAACGAAAACAAAAAATGAAAGAACTTGGTTAAAAATTTTAGCATCACTTTTAGGTTAAAGGAATTATCAACACACATTTTCTAAACTGAAATTTCAAAAGTCCCATCAGGAGAATTAGAATCACCATCCTTTTGCCATCGTGTGACTAAATGATTAGAATTCCTATGTCCAGTTGATTGCATTCGATTGTTTGGTGCATTCAGTTTAGATATTCGATTATGCGGAGGTAATGGTGGCGTAGGACGTGAACCAGCTTGTGTCATAACTGAAGGACAATGAGTCGAACCAAATGACTGAGATACAAATTTTGAAGCTGACTGCTCATTTGTACGTGGACTACCTATGAAGTAACTAGATCCATCCACTTGAACCCCATGAGGATTACTGAAATAAGGTGGTTTGACCAAACGAAGATTAGAGGATGCTGTGGTATTACTAAATTGACTAGCTGTATCAACCGGCAAGAAATATGGTACTGATTTAGAAATACCATGAGGAGGTACAGCTGGGGGCCAAAATGGACGAGCATGAGAAATATTTGTCTGGGAGCCATGAGGAGGTAGAGGTGGAGGAAGACTGTGAAGTGACCGTGGAGATAAATGATTGGCAACTTCATTATGGGGTAGTAAGTGTCTTTGATCTACTTGCATTCCAGGAGACCGAGGATAAAACTGGTGCGGAAATTCATGACGGCGTTGTTCAGATCTCATTGATTTCACAAAACCCCTTGATATATTGCTAGTTGGTAGATTTACAGATTCAGGGGTGTAACAATCAAGTGTAGCTGACGTGACATAATGTATACCACGACCTGTTGAAGGAGAGTAAGATTTAGATGTACATTGTGTACCATTAAAATCCTGAGTGCTGAATTGTTCGGCAGTAGCAACACGCGGTTGAGAAAATAGCGCACCATGTGAACTTATCGGTAGGGTGACTCGATCGCGGATATTCATCATCGAATTAGATGATGTACAAGGACACATATTTTCATTGGAACGAGAAGAAAAATCACGTGAAGAACTTCTTCCAATTTCGGTAGCGGCACTCTGATCCTGTTGTCTGAGATGAAGCGAATTACTCGACTTACTTTGGTTTTCTATGGTAAGTTTTTGCAATTGACGTCCTCGAATCAAGTCAACGTCCGAATTCGCTTGAGATCCTAGAAGTGGAGTTAAATGGTCACCTTTTATGCCGAAACGATCTCTATCGGATATGATTTTTGTGGGGACATTAGTAGATGTTACAACAGAATTGATATTAGAATTAAAGCTAGCACTATTTTCATTTGATACATATTTTGGTGTATTTGTCCCAATCAGTAGACTTTTACCTTGATCTTTGTTACCTAAAGACTTTGACTTTGTTCCTACTAAAGCAAGATTTGGATTTGTTTTATTTAATTCGCCAGTCCTTCCACAAACAGGAGATTGCGATCTAGACATAAGGTTTTCATTAGTGTGGGTTGCATTTGAAAACTCTTTAAGGGATAAAACTTTTGATTGTGGGTTGGGTGAAAGAGATTTGTTTAATTCATGATGAACACTTGATATTAATTCAGATGTGTTTCGTTGATCAGAAGAATGATTAACTATATCTTCCAAATCCACCTTTTCACAAACAACTTCTCCCTGTTTAACAATATCAACCGGGTTTTTAGATGATTTCTACAAAGATATACAAAAAAATATTGTCACACAAAAGCTAGAAATAAGTTTAACAATACATTTCTCGAGCATTTTTAACGCAAATGAACTTGACAGATAATAGTTTGTGTGGGAACAAAGGGTAGCAGTAATTCATCATGAACTAACTAAATCATTTTACAGAACTTATGAAAGTTTGAGCCATATTGTTAGCTGAAAACTACCTGATTGAGGTCCGTGCAATGACTGCTCTCAATGGTTGAGTACACTAAGTGACATAGATAAGAATCAGTCACAGAAACAAACATCCATTTATTCTTTATCTTCTAGATCATGAATCCCAGAATATATTCATACATATCCTTTCATTCTTTCTTCCTAAACCTTAGTCTTAATGTTCAGTCTTTTTAATTATGATTGCTACTACAATTATTTTGACCACATATCTATTCATTTTATTAATTCCACCTTGTCTTAACAAAGTATGAAGAATCGAGTTGACCAAAATTTGTGCAAGTTTCTACGTTGATTATGGCTGATAGACAGAAATCGTTTCAACAACATATATGCAAACTTGGTCTGTATAACTTTGTAATATAAATATTCAACCACTTGGCTAGAAATTCAAGACTTTAGTCAGACGAACTGCACAAATAATCGATGTCATATAATGTTTATATATTATTGATTCATAGACTTGGCCTTTAAAGTGTGTTGTGGGGTCAAACTCCGGCTATCCATATATATGATGTGATAACCAGTCAAACAATTGATAATGAAATCAGTCTCATTTATTACGTAGTATACGAATCCCTTAATTACGTGAGACAAGGGTATTTCTTTGTATCTGTACTGATTTAATTCCACAATTAAACGGTTTTCAAAAAAAAATGACAACTGACCAGTCGTTAGTAGAAATGGCTAAAAATTTCTAAAAGTAAACGTTAGGATTGTTATCATGAAGACAGAACCAGTGCCAAGTAATTTTCACACAAGTTAAATCTCAATACAACTGAACAGCTCAGTTGAACTGCGTTACAACAGTTCTAGTCTTAATTACTACTCTAAACCACTTAAATTTCATCGTAACTAAAAATTTGCTAAAATAACGTCACATTTTGTAATTTTTCGGGCTCATAAATGTATACAAAGCGACTCATAGTTCAGTGACAGAGTTATAAATTGAATAAAATAAGCTGGCTGTTGTTGCGATCTGAGTTGAAATTAAAGCTCGGTAGCTTTCAAACAACGATATAAATTGACAACAGAGTGGTCAACCGGTAGAGTATATCCTGTGCCATAACAGTTGTTATGCATTTCAGCATATATTTAACAGACTTGTAGTGACTCACTTTTATCACGAGAACATGACTGGTTTAATGAAAACAATTAGTATTATAACCAATTGTACCAGTGCTTGATTTAATGTGCTCTTTTTTTAACTGCGCTAATGACAGCTACATTGTGTTTCCATCGTTATTATTATTACACTTTGATTGTGACCTCGCGCGAATTCGGTTACGTTCTGTAACTAAGCTTGTATCTTGGAACGATCTCGGTATCCTTTCGGTACCACGAGATCGCCAGCGAATATATCTTGATTTGGTCCATTAACTGCCTTCTGATATTTCGCTTCCGGGGGATATTATGGATATCCTGGCACGCGTTCCTTTGTAGTGGTGTTCATAGTCTATCGCGACTCGACACCACGCTACAGACTAATATTCGAACGAAGAATATTATTTTCGATAAATTCTCTTCAAGTTCTACAATTATATATCCAAACTAATAATCCGAAAAATGGTCAGGTTAAGGGAAAAGTACATCGTTTAAAGTTAACGCGTGTGAATTTATGATTGTTAAAATAAATAGAATAAAATTGTTAATGTTGATATGACCCATACAGAATGTTAATTCGAATCAGCATATATGTTGAGCGAAAATTTAAGATCCACGTTTAGAACCTGAAGAGAATTTATCGAAAAGAATATTATTTGTCCAAATATTGGTCTTGTAATATGATGAAGATCTTTAAACAATTAATATATTTAACAACTAAAAGAATATGAAGGCAAATATTTTACTGAAGCTTGTAGAATCGCAAATCAGAGGCTGAGATGAATTACTCATGAACAAAGTAGCGCGTGATCACTAAACAAGAAATAGCCGAAAATAAACACCTAAACATGATTTTAATTACCGCAAGGCGAAAAAAGATGAAACACAAAGTAAACTACTTCAGCAAAAATAGAAATCATATGTAGATACGTGATTGCTAAAGGAAGGAATTTCGTATATGGGTGAGTGACTAATAGAGATATACATAAAATTCTTCATATGAAGCGTGAACAATCAGTTGAAAACTTACACATAGTTAACAACAGTAAATATTAAATTGTATTCATGGAGAGACTTAACAAGTAGAAAGACTAGAGGTTTTATCTAACTGGTAGTATATTTTGCAGTTTAGTCTACAGATTAAAGAGTCGAAAGAACGGATTAGAAAAACAACTATTTACAAAATACTACGGCAGGATGAATTAACTTACAAAAGTATCAGAAAGCTTGTAGTTATTAGAACCAGAACGCAAATTTGATGTTTGGCGGTGTTTGATAGGTTTACCATTATAGGATATTTCCCACATATCAACTTCTGCTACATTTGGTCTATTCAATCTACATAGAAAATATAAAATAAACTGAGGAAACAAAACTTACATAGGTGGTTGAGAGGTACAAAAAATGTGTAGCCAGTTCTTGCACAGGCCGCGATCATAAGGGTTCATATCAAGATCATATTTTGAAGTGACCTTTGAAATTATGAAGGAAAAAAACGTTGCATAATGAGAATATAACAATAATGAGGTAAACAAATGAAACAAGAGTAAGTTACATTACCATAATTAAGCAGTTGTAGGATCAGAATTGGGAATAGAGTGACTATAAACTTACGGAGATGAAATTGAAGTCTATCAAAAAAATAATTCACAAGAATTAACAGATATCAAAGAAACACCTAAAAGACTAGAATTATACATATCATTTCAAGTCTAAAATATTTAATACCAAACTATCATACATCGAAAGTTCGTCGTCTTTTGTCAGAAGTTCTATAACAATTGGTTTTCATTTTTTGGTCAGTCTGGAAATATAAAGACACAGGTAAGACACTTTTGAGTTGAAATCACGTTGTAATTTCAGACTAAAAGCACTGATCAATAGGTTGCCAGGAAAGTTTTCCATTTTTTAAATCTTACAATCAAAAGTAATACTTAGTTGACCCACGTGTTGTGGCTGTACACCCTAACTCATGAAGCACATGAATTCCAAATTATGGAGAATTTAGGCCACTAAAGTCAAATTGGTAACTTATTGAAGATAATTAAATCCATGCTCAAATCCCAAGTCATAGCGGATACATTCCTCTGACATATGGGAATTAGCAATCTCAGCAGGTTAATATCGACAAACAAAAGATATTTGTACAAACATCTTGATGAAATATATAGTGACAAAACTCTCGGGCGAAAGTCACCTAAGACTTACCTGTTCATTTGTAGTTCGTCCTTTGCTGACTAAAAAAATGTGAAATCCCGTCAGACCTAGCACAGGAAGCAGCAATAAGCCTACCAAAATTAACACGCCAATGCTGAAAGATAAGCTAAGGAATACTGAAAGTTTTGTCTTCAGTTAAAAAGACACAAGATAAAGGATACGCAATAATGACTTTGTAGTGAGAGAGTTCATTCGTACGCATCAGAACATACGTCATGGACACGCCAAAAACAATAATCATATGAAGAGTTAATGTGAGTAGGAACGAAAAAAAATACCGATAGTTTCGTTTCCCAATACAATTGTTCAGCCAAGGACAATGATGATCAAACGTCTGAAAATCTTTTGGCGGACTGAACAACTTACATCAATGCAATGTTTGCAAATAGAGCAATGAGAACAGCGAGGAGGTCTGTAAAATTCACATGTGACACACCATTTCAAACGGGTGGAAACTCCATTTATGTCAACAGACTTATACATTACAGTACGAGGGGAACCTTTCTCAACAGTAGTCATCTTTTCACCGGGAACCCCTATTTACAAACGGTTAGTGTGAGACACAGGACGCACCCATAGCATAATATCCAGGGTCCATGAAGGTTGCCTTGCCAAATGCAGATACCACAAAGAAAAACAGTAAAGAATGACACACAGTAAATGCATAACTAGTTTCTTTGCTAAAATCCCAACAACTGAAAAGTTAGTAGTAAGCTTATAATAACCTACATAAACACTAAATACAAAACAGTAAGAAATATAAGGAGAAACCAAGCAATCAGAGCTGGACCAATATTTTTTGAAAAGGCTTGGCAACTCATAGTCCATCAGTAACGAAAACCCCATCAAATGTTAACAGAAATTTGGTTGAAAAGGCCGGCATTTATAGTGATTAGCATAAACAAATAGCATGGTAGTACTAGTCACTTAGACTGAAAAATCACGTAGCTTTCGTCCTGAGATTCGCATTTTGCAGATCGCTTTTCTTTTCGAGTTTCATCCGAATTAATCAACAATTGTGTTTGTATCTCAGCTTACTATTCTGCATACAAGGTTTATCAAGTCAATAGGCTTATTTTAGTATGTCTTAATCTTTCATAGTACTCGCTTTTAACCACTTTTCCGATTCGGGCATCTTGTTGTCTTCACGATCGCGAACTTCTGCCCGAATATGTTTAACAATTTATATTTCACCATGGTCACTAAGCTCTCATGTAAGCGGTCTGGGTGCCATTTTATGGTCACACGTGGTATAGAGGGTGACGAGTGTAAAAGGTGGCCTCAAGAAGCAAGCATGGGCTTAACAGTAAAGCTGGGGATTCGTTGAGCAATATCATCAGTTCTGAAACGAATAAACAAACAAAGACGTTCAGTGAACTGAAGGAGATGGTCTTCAACGGTATTCACTTTGATGAAATAAACACCAAACTATTGAGGATATACTGAACCTTAGAACCGCTAAAACATATACGGCATTAGACTCTGAATAAACTTGTGTTTCCCTGTAAAGCACCTTCGAGTGCTACTGGGGACCTCGTAACTTCTACTGAAAGAGACCGGACTCTCGTCAACAAGGCTGAAAAGGATGGAGAGTCAACGTCGAGAATGCTGAAAAGCCCATGTCCCGTATGAAAATCAGCTAATTAATCTTCTGTCCAAGCTAAACCCAACATTGCTCAGCCAGTCAAGAAAAAAACGGCGAGAATATAATTTATGGACGAACCAATCAGATTTACGATAACAGGTCTCGAATTTGGGCGCGAAATTCATTCACCCATTTGGCTAAATAGAGTCTTGGCATTACAGCTGATGTCAGTTCGTGATGAAAACCCTATATCTAATTCCTAAAACCAACCTTCAACTAAAAATCATAATCCTTTTTCTTCAAACTGTTACATAACCCTCATTCAACCATAGTAATCTGGTAGATATTTTCAAGGTCACTTCGGCGTCGCTCGAAGGTCGTCCATAAATTATAGTCTCGCCGAAAAACACGAAAATTCGGATCGTAATCCAACTGCAGAAGAAAGGACCTCAACTTAAATGTACCCGAAAACTTGTTAAAGTGTTTACAGTTCGCGATGATTCGCTAATAATCATGAACTTTGAAGACAGCTATGACCTAACTCCTGGTCCGTAGAACGATAACGACCGGATGCTTTGGGAAGTTGGACAGAAAGCTCAAACTCCCAAAGATTGAGCCGCTAACGGTTACACGCTTTTTTCGGAGGACGGATATCAAAAACTAGATGTTCACTAACATCGATGACGTAAAGGATGTTTTGCTACCCAATCAGATGTTGAAACCAGACGAGAATGTGAAGATACTACCTGATATACCGTATTCTGAGCATGATTTCATCATTAAAGTTCTAGAGGAATCTCAAGAAACGTTCTTTCGTGGAAAAGATGTATTTATCCAGGGTGTCCAAGAAAAAAAGAACCCTGATTATGCAGATTACGATATTCTAAAATGGAAGTGCTTTAGGCAGTTCTTAAAGCTTTAGAACATATCTACTCAACAACAGTACGATTAGCCACGAAGGACGAAAATTTTATTACCTGGCTAATGAAGATGACTATTCCATCCGCCAAAATGTTGGCCGCTACCCTCGAACCATTTTGCATCAACAGACACTAGTTGACAACTGTGTTCTATATACATCAGAGCAAACTGAAGCCAGCTATTTCAGTTGCAGACAGGAAAAGGAGTAGAAAAGATAGTGTTTACTCACTCGGGAAACACTGTGTAGGTAAGTCGCATCTCCATTCATAGTAGGTCCATTCAGACAAGCGGAACGAGAACGCTCACGCTTTTTAAATCGAGAGCATCTACTGCCTACATTAGGACACTGCGAGTTTATCAAAAAAATAGGTGAATTGCGCTAATTGTACTCATTTTTATAAAAATATTTGGAACCTAGAAAATTCATTTTGCGAACCAGGAGATTGCAATACCCGGCATAAATTTGTCCTGCAACGACAGAAGAACAGGAATGGGGGGATGGAGCATCCCTGTAACTAGGATCAAGTGTACACCAAAGAGTATCAATCTTGAGCAATCTTTATGGCGCTCAGTAAGGTTTTCTAACATATTAAAGTGTCTTATTGAAGTCATCTACAGAAAGCCCACTGCGGACAACGATTGTATGCTGGAGGATTATCCAGCTTTTTTCGTCTTGGTTACATTCATAACCTGATTCTGCAAGATTTCAATCCTCCAAAAGTGAATTTTGCTGAACACACGTAAACTGAGGGCAACAACCCTACTGAATCTCGGTCCTTCGACTTTACTGAAGATCTGGAAGCGTGAAGCTAGAAACTCGGTCGAGAAACATTTAAAAGCTCTCACACCTAGACTGCACATTTACAAGTGAAGAATTCCCAATCGACAACAATACAAACTTGATTCTTATCTTAATCTATATGAATCATCTTTCATAGAAAGTATTCGTTATTTTTTGCTGAAGATTTGAAGCTTTGGAGAAAAGTTTGTAACCAAGATGATAAGCTGGCACTTGGGGAGTATCTGACTCGACTTCAAAGTTCAGCGGACAACAACGGACTTGATTTCAACGATTCGAAATGTAAGGAAACCCGTCTCAGACAAGTTGCAGACTACGCGTAAAACGTGGGGAAATCTTCACTTGAGATACTTCAATTTGAAAAACATTTTGAAGAATTAGTACCCTATGGTCTGAAGTTATGCGTCATCTGCGATAAAAGTACACTTCAAGCAAACCTCGCACTAGTAACGTTGAAACGCATTTTCGGCCAGTTTCATTGTAGAATTTTCAACCCGATTTTCAACAGTTTTGTTCGATCCTACTTGGAGTATGGAAACCAAAGTGTTTTTTTCTCTCCCTACAAAAGGACAAGAATACACTAAAACGTATCCAATGGCAAAATATGGTGGTATTAGTTCATAACCACACTGTCTATGAGGCTATATATGTGACTACTGGGATTTACATTCGATATGTAATAAAGAGATTAAAAATGGAGAGAAAAATGAGATTAACTAATGATTAATAGTATGCTGAACACCCCTAAGCAACCCTTATGATATTTACTTAAGCTCAGTCGAAACATAAACCCTATCGCTTACACTTAGATTATAGAGACGTAACATAATAGAATGGTTGTAAGCATATCTTTTACTCTTTACAAGTAGTAAACTTCTGGAATTCGCTGCTGGCTAAGGTGGTCTTAGTGACTTATCAGACCTCCCAGGACAGTATTATATTATAGTTTGCCAATGTGACTCCTTTTATGGTTAAGCATACCTGTGTACCTACCTGAAGGTATCGCTGATCCATAACAACTAGGAACGAAACCCCGTTAAGCAATAGCTTACATTAGAATCATGGATACTGTACAAAGTTTTCCATGTGACGTCCGGACTAAAAAGGGTCACTCCAGTGAAAATAACATTGAGATAATGTTTTTGAAGCGAATGGCTACACGCCACACCATATTTACAAACTCTATTGATGTATTTACTCAGATACGTATATTTTCAGTTTCGCTTCCTCATTCTAACGGAGTGACTGTGCAAACCTTAGCGACGAATCGATGCTAAATAGTAATACTAGTAATAATTTATTCTCAAATTTAGCTCTGTTACATGAGGATTGCCAGTTTACAGGCAAGATCAACTTGTTACAGACGATACAGTTTTCACTGTGTTGGGCTACTCAGTTTGACATTTTATAAGGTATACTGAACATAAAAGTATGGGGGATAATACTTCTCACTGATGAATACAAATAATGTTTGTAAGATCCGTATTGTCAATACGACAGTTGGCGAGATATTACACGTAGCGTTTCGACGTGCAACTGACAGTCGGGAGTAAATCCACGTAAACTTGAGAGATTCTGGAAACTGTGACTCTATTTTAAAATAGCTATGCGGACTGTTCTTGCACAAATACCACTTTATTTGACGGATTATTTGTTTGGAAATATATTATGCGCAGAGAAACTATAGAAACTTAGTGTAGTGGAGAAAATTGGAAAATTTACACAGAAAAAAAGAACTTACTCAAATACAACAATTTGTAACGTAAGATAGCTAAGGTCGTATATGATGAAACGCTATCCTGCTGCTTATATGGAATTCCAAAGTGTCCAATGCCACTAAAACAACACTGAACATAGACAAAATTCTCAGTCAACCAAAATGCATCTTCAACTTAGAAGGGTGGTCACTTTATGTTCATCACCACCACACTTCGTCGTTGTCACGGATGACTACGTAAGCTAATGGAGTGAGGACACAACTCCGTTATCACCGATTGATATCGTTTTGTACATTACCTCTGCCAAATCTCCAGCTGAACCTTCTGGTAAAATTCTGTCGGACATCCAAGAGTACTAAGGGGGATAACCTGGGTACTAAGTTAAACTGAGTTAGAATAATAATTTGCGAGTTCAATGTAGGATTATGTAGGTCAACTGGTTACAGCATTTCATTTCAGTAGGTGGTTAAGTGACACCTCTGAGGTAGTACCTTCGTGTTTGACAGATGACTTTAATTTATTGTGCCTTCTAGTTCGCCTTGTAAAAATAAACCCAAATATATAATTATTTAGTGAAAGATGTGTGGATTCATTTTTTAAATTATTTACACTGTATGGGACAAAATTGGGTGACACTGTTTCTTAGTTATTATTATACTATCTTATCTAAACGCAGAGGGAAAAGACGATGAGAGATTATATCAACTTGGTTACATGTAAGCTAAAGGGACATCAGATGTGTATATTTCCTGTCCAAAGTACAGGAAGGATTTCACGTCAACTCTTGCAGAAATCTGACGTGGATGACTAATTAGGTACCTCCGGTTGGTAGCATTCAATAAAATCAGTCAGATTATTATCAACATCGAAT